ACAGGGTTTCTCCATGTTGGCCAGGATGGTCTTGATCTCTTGATCCTGTGATCCACCCCGCTCAGTCTCCCAAACTGCTGGGATTACAGGTGTGAGCCACTGTGCCCAGCCCAGAATTTTCTTCCTTTTGAACATAAAATAATAGTCTATTGTATATGTGATCCTACATTTTGCATATACTACTCCATTCATTCATTGATGAACATTTGGGTTATTTCCACCTTTTGGCTATTGTGACTAAAGCTGCTATCAACACTGGTGTACAAATATATTTGTTTGTGTCCCTGCTTTTATTTCTTTTGGGTATATATGCAGAAGTGGAATTTCTGCATCATATAGTAATTCTGTGTTCAATTTTTTGAGGCACCGTCACACTGTCTTCCATAGTGGCTGCACCATTTTGCATTCCCAGAAGCAGTGTACAAGGGTTTCAGTTTCTCCATATCCTTGTCAACATTTGCTGTTTTCTGTTTTGCTTTTTCATAATAGCCATCCTAATGAGCGTGAAGTGGTATTTCATTGTGGCTTGATTTGCATTTCCCTTATGGTTAGTGATGTTTATCATCTTTCCATGTGCTAATTGGCCACTTGCATATCTTCTTTGGAGAAATGTCTTTTCAACAATGAATAATTGAATAAATGAACAATGAATTTTCAAGTCTTTCACCAATTTAATCAATTTTTTTGAGACAGGCTCTCCCTCTGTTGCCCAGGCTGGAGTGCAGTTGTACGATCTTGGCTCTCTGCAGCCTTAACCTCCTGGGCTCAAGCAATTTTCCCACCTCAGCTTCTCTAGTAGCTGTGACTACAGGTGCACACCACCATGCCCAGCTGATTTTTGTATTTTTTGTAGAGATGAGGTTTCATCATGTTGCCCAGGCTGATCTTGAACTTCTGGCCTCAAGCGATCAGTCCACCTCAGACTCCCAAAGTACTGGGATTACAAAGAGCTGAGCCACTAAATTGGCCTGAAATTGTTTTTTTTGTTGTTGTTGTTCTTGTTGTTGAGTTGTAGGAGTTTGAAAAACATATCCCAGATATTGGCCAGGCATGGCGGCTCATGCCTGTAATCCCAGCACTTTGGGAGGCCAATGCAGGCAGATCACTTGAGGTCAGGAGTTCAAGACCAGCCTGGCCAACATGACAAAACCCAGTCTCTACTAAAAATACAAAAATTAGCTGGGCATGGTGGCTCATGTCTGCAGTCCCAGCTACTGCAGAGGCTAAGGTAGGAAAACCATTTGAACCCGGGAGGCAGAGGTTGCAGTAGCCAAGACTGTGCCACTGCACTCCAGCCTGGGCAACAGAGTGAGACCCTGTTTCAAAAACAACAAATATAAATATAAATATCCTAGATATTAATCCCTTATTAGACATATGATTTGCAAATGTGTTTTCACATCCCATGGATGACCTCTTCACTCTGTTAATTGTGTACTTTTTTTTTTGACTCTGGAGTGCTGCACTCCAGGCTGGAGTACAGTGGGGTGATCTCGGCTCACTGCAACCTCCACCTCCCAGGTTCAAGCAATTCTCCTGCCTGAGCCTCCTGAATAGCTGGACTTACAGGCACCCACCACCACGCCTGGCCAATTTTTGTATTTTTAGTGGAGACAGGGTTTCACCATGTTGGCCAGGCTGGTCTTAAACTCTTGACTTCAAGTGATCCACTCACCTTGGCCTCTTGAAGTGCTGGGATTACAGGCATGAGCCCTTGCACCTGGCCCCTGAAAGTTCTTGATTTTAATGAAGTTCAATTTATTTTCTGTTTTGTTGCCTATGTTTTGGTGTCATATCCCAGAAATCCTTGCCACATCAAATGCCAAGAAGTGTCCCTTCTATTTTCTTCTAAGAGTTTTGTAGTTTTCAAGCCCATTCAAAAGTGGGTGAAGAATATGAACAGACACTTTACAAAAGAAGACATACATGAGGCCAACAAACATATGAAAAAATGCTCATCATCACTGGTCATTAGAGAAATGCAAATCAAAACTACATTGAGATACCACCTCACGCCAGTTAGAATGGTGATCATTAAAAAATCTGGAGACAACAGATGCTGGAGAGGATGTGCAGAAATAGGAACACTTTTACACTGTTGGTGGGAGTGTAAATTAGTTCAACCATTGTGGAAGACAGTGTGGCAATTCCTCAAGGACCTAGAAATAGAAATTCCATTTGACCCAGCAATACCATTACTGGGTATATATCCATAGGATTATAAATCGTTCTATAATAAATAACATGAATGTTCATTGTGGCACTGTTTATAATAGCAAAGACCTGGAACCAACCCAAATGCCCATTGATGATAGGCTGGACAGGGAAAATGTGGCACATATACACCATGGAATATTATGCAGCCATAAAAAACGATGAGTTTGTGTCCTTTGTAGGGACATGGATGAACCTGGAAACCATCATTCTCAGCAAACTGACACAAGACCAGAAAATCAAACACCACATGTTCTCACTTATAGGCAGGTATTGAACAATGAGAACACATGGACACAGGGAGGGGAGCACTACACACTGGGGTCTGTTGGGGGGAAATAGGGGAGGGACAGTGGGGGTGGGGAGTTGGGGAGAGATAGCATGGGGAGAAATGCCAGATATAGGTGAAGGGGAGGAAGGCAGCAAATCACACTGCCACGTGTGTACCTGTGCAACAATCTTGTATGTTCTTCACATGTACCCCAAAATGTAAAATGCAATAAAAATAAATAAATAAAAATAAAATAAAGAGTTTTGTAGGTTTAGCTTTTATGTTTAGGTCTTTAATCCATTTTGGAGTTAATTTTTTAATATACTTAAGGTAAAGATTCAACTTCATTCTTGTGCATGCGGACATCCAGTTTCCTAAGTCTTCTTGAAAAGACTGCCTTTTCCCTCACTGAATGGTCTTGGTATCCTTGTCTAAAATCATTTGACCATATATGTAAGAGTTTATTTCTGGGATATCCTATTCCATTAGCCCAAATGTCTGTCTTTATACTAGTACCACACCATTTGAGTTATTGCAGATTTTTGGTTACATTTTAAAATTGGAAACTCTTAAGACTTCCAATTTTGTTCTTTTTCAAGATTGTTTTGACTATTTGGGGTCCTCTGAGGTTCCATATAAATTTTAGGACGGATTTTTCTGTTTCTATAAAAATACTATGATTTGTATTTCCATAGGGATTGCATTGGATCTGTAGATTGCTTCAGGCAATATTGACATCTTAGCAATATAAAGTCTTCTTATCCATGAATAAAGGATGTCTTTCCATTTATTTGTGTATTCTTTCATTTAGTTTGGCAATATTTTGTCATTTTCTTTCTTTCTCTCTCTCTCTCTCTTTCTTTTATTTTCTTTCTTTTATTTTTCTTTTGAGATGGAGTCTTGCTCTGTCGCCCAGGCTGGAATGCAGTGGCGCCATCTCACCTCACTGCAACCTCTGCCTCCCAGGTTCAAGCAATTCTCTTGCCTCAGCCTCTTGAGTAGCTGGGATTTCAGGCCCACACCACCATGCCTGGCTAAGTTTTTATGTTTTTAGTAGAGATGGGGTTTCTCCATGTTGGTCAGGCTGGTCTCAAACCCCTGACCTTGTGATCCGCCCACCTCAGTCTCCCAAACTGCTGGGATCACAGGCTTGAGCCACCGTGCCTGGCCTTGTGATTGTCAGTGTACAAGTCTTTCGCCTCTTTGGTTAGGTTTATTGCTAAGAATTTTATTCTTTTTTGTTTCTTTTATAAATGCAATTGTTTTCTTAATTTCCTTTTTGGATTTTTCATTATTAGTGTATTCAAACAACAAATTTCTATGTGTTAATTTTGTATCCTGCAACTTTGCTGACTTTATTAATTCTAATAAGTGTGTGTGTGTGTGTGCGCGCGCGTGTGTGTGGGTGTGTAAAAGCCATCTTGTTTTTTTTTTTTGTTTTTTTTTGAGACGGAGTTTCGCTCTTCTTACCCAGGCTTGAATGCAATGGCGCGACCTCGGCTCACCACAACCTCCACCTCCTGGGTTCAGGCAATTCTCCTGCCTCAGCCTCCTGAGTAGCTGGGACTACAGGCGTGCGCCACCATGCCCAGCTAATTTTTGTATTTTTAGTAGAGATAAGGTTTCACCTTGTTGACCAGGATGGTCTCGATCTCTTGACCTCGTGATCCACCCACCTCAGCCTCCCAAAGTGCTTGGATGTCTTTCCATTTATTTGTGTATTACAAATTTATTTGTGGATTACAGGCGTGAGCCACCGTGCCTGGCTTTTGTTTTTGTTTTTATTTTTACCTGGAGACTCAGGCAAGGACAGGTTTTCTTGTCATCTTCCAAAGCCAGTGAGTAGGCTTCTTCTAGGTCCCTAGTCATTAGGGAGGCAGGCTTCAAGGATCCCAGCTGTCCTCAAGAGTACTGTTTCCAGCTTCCTGCTTCACAAAGGCCAAGGCCTAGGTCATGGCTAATGCCAGCACCTGGCTGCTGAGCCTATTTCCCTTCCAGTACCCTCCTGTCAGAGCTCCTGGTTCAACCTTCTGCTTTTCTGCTCTGTCTTGATTTAAGAAACAGATACATTTTATTTCTACATATTCAGAGCACAGGGGTCCCAGCATCCCACTTCCAAATGAGGATGTCCAGCACATGCATTCAGAGAGGATACATGGAAACCAAAATTTTGTCCATAGTGAAAGGCCCTATTCCCAAATGCAGCTACAGTGGGGAAGACGTTGGTCCCTCCCCCAGGCAAGAGTCTTGCCTCCCCATGGGGCTGGTAGCCTACCAAGGCCCAGGCCACATAGGTGGGTTGTCTACTGTTACTGAGGGCCTACTATGTGCCAGATACCATACTAGGTGCTTTATGTACATTATATGTCATTTAATCTTCTCTCCAGGCCTATGAGGTGGGTACTATCATTGTCACTGATTCACCTGAGAGAGCTGCCAAAACACAGATAGCAAGGGGCAGAACCAGGATTCTGATTTGGGTTGGCTCAGCCTTTTATCAATATATCTGGTCTTCCTCTGTCCTTTCAAAAGCCTATGGCTTTCTCATCTTGCCCACACCTCTGGGGGTAGGGTCTGTATGGTTTCCTTTCTTTTATCTGTCTTCAACACCCAGTGGGTATGACCTGGGGACAACCAGTCACAGCTCTGCAGAGGTTACTGTGACTTGGCTCCTGAAGCATCTGTCCACAACTTAGGAACTCACACAGCTTTTGGCCTGAGCCCCCGTTACCAAGAGAAAGGAGGTTTTTGCCAAGGACTCCAAGGGGAGTGCACTCGATGTTGGTCGGGACCCAAGGCACCCAGCCCTCCCTAAGACATTGTGTGAGTTGGGCTGGGCCTCAGACACGGCCCCCACTGCCCCACCCCAGCCAGGGTGGTGCTTCAGTGGGAAAGACTTTAAATCCAGCTGCCAGACCCCTGGACGGGAGAAGGAGAGAGGGCTGGCCACCATGCACAGCTCCTGCAGTTTCCTGATGCTTCTGCTGCCGCCGCTGCTGCTACTGCTGGTGGCCACTGCGGGCCCCGCTGGAGCCCTCACAGATGAGGAGAAGCATTTGATGGTGGAGCTGCACAACCTCTACCGGGCCCAGGCATCCCCACCCGCCTCGGACATGCTGCACATGGTAAGCGTGGCCAGGGCCCTGGCCGGCTGGGATGGAAGGGGTGCTGGGCAGGGTCTGTCTCCAGGCCCTCTTACCCTGCTCCTCATGCCGAAGCTATTCCAGAATTCCTCTCCTTCCTCTGGTCAGTGACAGAGTCTCTGAGTCCCTGACATTACATTACATGTCTTTTAATGGCAAAAACCACAATGACTTTTGCACCCGCCTAATAAAATTCACAGCCCCTATAAGCAGCCTCATAATACGGATGAGGAAAGTGAGGCTCAGAGGGATTTGTTGGGGTCACACAGCTAGTAGAGCCAGATCTGAATCCCTGGATTCCCACTCCAGTGACCTCTCCCCAGCACGTCCTCAAGTGCATGTGTCCTCGGTGAGGGAACCCGGGAACTTCTTAACACCTTTGTGAAAATGGTCTTTCACATGCCTGCTTCCTGACAAGAGGAAGCAGGGCAGCAGGATGGATGTGGGCACCTGGGGTAGGAGGTGGGTGCTAAGGAGGTGGGTAACAGCAGCATCCACAAGCAAAGAGGGCTCCGGATCACACAGCTCAGATTCTCTCGGTCACCTACAAGACGTGATTTGAGGCAAGTCCTGTGACCTTGCTGATCCTGTGTCTCCTATAAGAGGAGGTCAGAATGAGAGCTACTATACACCAGCGTGGACTGAATCTCACATATTGAATGGGTGAGGAAGGGTCTCTTTACATGAAGTTTGAAAACATGTAAAAATACTGTTTATGTCCTGGTGAAATGTGCAGATGTAGTAAACATACATGTACATGCACACAGGAGACAGAAGCTAGATTTAGGGCTGGTTACTTCTGTCAGGAAGAGCTATTTATGGCAGGGTGGAGGCAGGGTGTCTATACGCATTATTAGAGGAGATAAAGCCAGAAATTCACCCATCTCCTGCCCTCCCTGAGGGCTGAACTAGCCTGTCCCCTCTAGCCACCTTCGGGTGGCCGGGGAGGTTGCTGAGCAGTGTTCAGGGTGCCCCGGAGCACAGATGCACCTTGGGGAACACGATAGTGAGCCTGGGGCCCCAAACCTAAGTTCTAACCTCAGCTTCATGTGATCTGGCTGAAGTAACTCTGGGTGGACCTCTTCCCTTCAAAGGCCTGTTTCCAGATGGAAACATGGGGCTGGCGATCCCTGTCCCGAGTGTCACAGGATGACCTGTGAGAAAGATCTAGAAAGAGCTCTGCACACACACCCAGCACTGCCGCTCACAGCTGTGCCAGCCTGGGCATCGAGGAAAGGTGAACAACAAACCAGGAGTTGCAGCTGCAGCTCTGCCAGCAGCTCCCTGATTGAGGCCTGCGACGCATCATTGGGCCTCAGTTTCCCCACCTGTAGATCCCTGAGGCCCTACAGTTCTTGGTGGCTGAGACTGGGGGCCACATAGGCTGGGAGCTGCTTCTCAGACAGAGGTGCACCTTGGAGTGGGGCAGCATTCTGGGAGGCAGCTGGGATATTGAGGGGATATGCTGCTGCCTAATGGGGAGTGATATGAGGAGATGAGGCTGGGGCTGGGATTGCAGGAAATACTCAGGACAAGACTCAGATTCAGCCTCAGTAGCAGTGAATGCAGGGACTCTGGAGCCAGATGGCCTGGGTTCAAATCTTAGCTTTGTTACTCATTAGCTTTGTGACCTTGGCCAGGTTAAACTCTGCCTCACTCTCCTCATCTGTAAAATGGAGATAACAGTGGAATAATTCCCTTGTAGCTATGGTGGTTGTAGGGATAAATGAGTGAATATGTGTAAAGCACTCAGAAGAATGCCTGGCACACAGTAAGTGCTCAATAGGTATCTGATTAACACTAAAGAGGGAATGGATCCAGGGTGAGGCAGATGAGGGTTATCATGAACTCTTCTCTCTCTCAGCCTCCAGATCTAATCAGCACCAGTTTTGCCCCCTAGAAGCTTCAATTTTCATTGAAATCTAACCCTTCCCTCTAGCCCCTTCTCTCTTTGGCACAACTCTGGTTCAGGGTTCTTTCATTCTGCACCCAAGGCCTCCTAGGATAGCCCCTACCTGTTCCCCAGTCTCTGGCCTCTGCTGTCAGAATGAATAATCCAACACATGAGCCTGACACTGCTCAAAATCCTTCAGTGGCTCCCATGGCTCCCTACTGCCTCAGGATAAAGCTCCAGCTCCTAACTGAGAAGGCTGTGTGTTCTGGCTGCTGCCTACCTCTCCATTCTCCATTCCTACTCGCCCTTTATTCTTCTGTAACCTGAACAGCTGGTCTTTTTCCAGCCAGAATGTTTCCCAGCTTCATGCTTTTGCTGATGTGTACCTTCTGATTAGGACGCCTCTCCCTTCCATCTGGCTAATGCCTCATCTTTTAACACAGAGCTTAGTGTCTCCCTCTCCACCCTTGGCTGGGCTAGATGGCCCTCTTTGGTGCCCCTCTAGTACTTGTTGCACGTATGTCATTTACCATGTGGTGGCTTAATTGACTGTTTTTTGTTTGTTTGTTTTTTGAGATAGAGTTTTGCTCTTATCGGCGAGGCTGGAGTGCAATGGCAGCAATTTCGGCTCACTGCAACCTCTGCCACCCAGGTTCAAGCATTTCTCCTGCTTCAGCCTCCCAAATGGCTGGGATTACAGGCGCCTGCCACCATGCCCAGCTAATTGTTATATTTTTAGTAGAGACAGGGTTTTACCATGTTAGCTGGGCTGGTCTTGAACTCCTGACGTCAGGTGATTCACCTGCTTTGGCCTCCCAAAGTGCTGGGATTCCGGGCGTAAGCCACCGTGCCTGGCCCCAGTTGACTTTTATGTCAGTGGAAACTTGGGCTTCTTGGTTCCTGCTGTTGTCCCAGAGCTGACACAGTGCCCAGGACTGTTGAATGAATGAATGGATGGACTTGCTTCTGGATGGTGACCATGTGGCCAGTGTGGGTGGGTGCTGAGAGTCTTACAACTCCACAGGCGGCAGAGGTTGCAGTGAGCCGAGATCGCTGCCATTGCACTCCAGCCTCACCGATAAGAGCAAAACTCTATTTCAAAAAAAAAAAAAAAAAACAGGGCCGGGTGCGGTGGCTCAAGCCTGTAATCCCAGCACTTTGGGAGTCCGAGACGGGTGGATCACGAGGTCGAGAGATCGAGACCATCCTGGTCAACATGGTGAAACCCCGTCTCTACTAAAAATAAAAAAATTAGCTGGGCATGGTGGTGTGTGCCTGTAATCGCAGCTACTAGGGAGGCTGAGGCCGGAGAATTGCCTGAACCCAGGAGGTGGAGGTTGCGGTGAGCCGAGATTGTGCCATTGCACTCCAGCCTGGGTAACAAGAGCGAAACTCCGTCTCAAAAAAAAAAAACAGTCAATTAAGCCACCACATGGTAAATGACATATGTGCAACAAGTACTAGAGGGGCACCAAAGAGGGCCATCTAGCCCGGCCAAGGGTGGAGAGGACCGAGAATCCTTAAGACCAAAGCGATGATGCTAATGGTGGGGCTCCAGGTATCTAGTCAGAATGGAAATGACAGCCAGGCTCTGTATGGGGAGACTGCGTTAAGCAGGGCCTTGTCTCAGTCATCAAGTTGACAAGTATCTGTTGAGTACCTACCATGTGCCAGCACTGCGCTGGACACTGTGGAGCCATCACTGCCCTATCCTGACAGCACTTACAGTCCAGCCTGGTGCCTCGAAGGTCATCTCAGACACTGTGACCCTGGTCCCCAGCGCCCTGCCCCTTTCCCACTCCCAATCTCCCACTGTTGCTAGAGTTGAGAGAATTTCAGGGACCAGTGATTCGGGACAAAAGTGTCCAGAGAGGGAAAGAGACTCACCCAAGGTCACAGCTGTGGAGCTATCCCAGCCAGCCGCACCCATCCCCACACCAGGCAGCGGCTCTTGAAAGCCTTGAGTGGGTGCAGAGTGGGTGTGGCTACACGGCCACCTCCCCTCAGGGTCACCCAAGCTCTTGGCGCTTTATGGGATGTCTGGCTCCTACAGCTGTCTGGAACCCCCGAGGGTGGAGCAAGAGCGGCGGCCAGGCCATGGATTTCCAGGAGAAGCCAAGGACAGCATTTAATGGGATCCAGGCTTCCCTCCTCAGTCCTTTGGGTTGGATGCCTTGTTAATCCCTCTTCCCACCCACACTCGGTCTGTCCTCCTAGCCAGGGACACAATCTCGAAGGCCCCAAACCTAAAATGCCCCCTCCCACCATCTCACCTGAGGTCCCCACTGGAGAACACTGCCACTGGGGTCTGAGAGTGGGTTACCAAGGCTCTGAAAATAGGCCCCTTGGTGAGAGGCTTGTGACATTCAGTGTCACATAGAGACCCTTAATTTTCTTGGAGAAAGGGTGTTGCTGTTGACAAGGGTTGGGAGCAATCAGGAATAGCACTGGGGAGGGAGTCTGCAGAGGGAAAGGCATGGGGACTGGGTTGTCCCAAGGGGAGAGTGGGGGCTTAGGGGGAGAGAATGCTGGCCCTCAAGTCAGGTTCATGGTTGAGGGGGAGGGAAATGGGCTGAATAAACAACCCAGCCCCTCAACACCAATCTCACCTGTGCTCTTCAGAGAAGTTCAAGGAGGCCTGGGAGGTAGGAAGGAGCAGGGATGGCCACCTTTTTCACATGAGGCTTTTAATAATAACACTGTCACCAACGCCACCTCATTCACTCTTCCCAGCCTCTGAGGGTGCAGGAAGGTTAGGCAGTCCCTGTAGTCACACACTGGTGAATGGTCCAGCTCTGCGGCCTGGGGTGGCATCCTCCACCTCCCCACAGAAGCCCACTCAGAGCAGAGAGCTGTTCCAGACCATGCCCAAGAGTCACCCCCCTAAGGATGTGCCAGAAGGATTTCCCCACGACCCCCTCGACCTTTCGTTTGGTTCCCACAGCACCTGTGGGCATCCTCACCTCCCTTCTCCCGCCTGCCCTGCAGAGATGGGACGAGGAGCTGGCCGCCTTTGCCAAGGCCTACGCACGGCAGTGTGTATGGGGCCACAACAAGGAGCGCGGGCGGCGCGGCGAGAACCTGTTCGCCATCACCGACGAGGGCATGGACGTGCCACTGGCCATGGAGGAGTGGTTCCACGAGCGCGAGCACTACAACCTCAGCGCCGCCACCTGCAGCCCGGGCCAGATGTGCGGCCACTACACTCAGGTGCGGGCCCAGCGGGCGGAGCGGGGGCTCGCGGCGTGGGGTGGGGCCACGTGCTCCCTGGGCGGGGGCCCCCTCTGCCTTCCATGCTCTGCTCCGGAGTGTCCTCGCTGCGGGAGGCGGGCCTCACTCCAACCCCCTTGGACACAGCAAATCCTGTCTTTTCACTGCAACTGATACGCTGTCTAGGCCCCTGAGGGCGTCGGCTTCTCCACAGTCTTTTGAAAACCTAGGCCGCCAGACCCAGGCGCAGTAGCTCATGCTTGTAATCCCAGCAATTTTGGAGGCTGAGCTGGGAGGATCGCTTGAGGTCGGGAGTTGGAGACCAACCTGGGCAACAAACACGGCGAGATCCCCGTCCCTACAAAAAGTACAAAAATCCTAGCCGGGTGCAGTGGCGCGTGCCAGCTACTCTGAAGGCTGAGGTGGGAGGATCGCTTCAGCCCGGGAGGTTGAGGCTGCAGTGAGCCCTGATTGCGCCACTGCACTCCAGCCTGGGCTACAGAGGGAGACGCTGTCTCAATAAAAAGGGGGTGGGGTGGGGGCGGTGGGGCATGTTAGGCGTCACAGAGCCAGTTTCATGGACTGTGCTTATTGTCCTAGGCAACACTGTCCCGGGCTCCAAGCTGTCCTATTCCCCTTTCCCCAGATTGTGCAGGGCTATTTACCCCAGAAGTAGATGGTCCCTAAATTTTACTCTATGGCTCTTTTGTCATTTATCATGGTGTCTAATTTGCTACTTCTCATCTAATCAAGGGACTAATCAAGCAAAAATAGACAATTTTGTTTAGTTTTTCTTTTGCATTTAACCATTATGCCTAACAATGAAGAGCAAATGTGGCGGAATGAAGGCTTTGGGAGATTTCTAATAGAATTTCCTGCTTCCCAGTCACACTTTGCTTCCCGTCTGGGTTCTCCCTGCATTTTGAAAGTTTGGGCTTGCAGGTAAGGGGTGTGTGTGTGTGTGTGTGTGTGTATTAACATTAGTGTTACTGAATTCTTTTTTCTCCTCCCAGAGATTATGTGTCATATAAACAATAACATGACAGACAATTAAAAGATAAGAAACCAACCGTCTTCCCACCCACATCCACCAATTCCATTTCTCAGTGCCTCTTTTTCATGGTATTTTTAGTCTTTATCTTTAGGAAGGAGATCCCAGCAGCACCCACCCAGGTCAGGAAGTTGTGAGGGCCCAGCACCCTCCCTGCCCCTTTCCCTCTGGACCCTGCCACCCCTCCCTCTTCCTCCACCACCACATACTTGCTCCTGCAGGGATTGCTGTCCGGGCCCAGCAGGGAGTGAGTCAGGCCAGCTCCACCCTAGCTTTCTCTGGCGCTAAGGGTGCATGCACTCTGGGGTCATTTCTGCCCAGAAGGTGCTCAACACCAGGAGACCTTCAGCTGATTTCAGCAGAGATTCCTGGGCAGATTGGACCTGGAACCAGTAAGGGAAGGTTGCTGGTCTCACCTTACGGCAGCACACAAATGTTGGACTTTTTGTTTGATAAAGACAGAAGTCCTTCTAGCAGCCAAGACTCCCACGCTGAGAAACAGCCAGAACAGGTCCTGCTCAACTGTGATTTGGGGGAAGTTCCACTTCCAAAATGGCTCCTCCTCCTCCCCACCTTGGACTTTTTTTGTTGCTAAAGTCTAAAATTCTACCATTTGAGATTCTTTCCTTTGGATATAACTTTCATTTAAAATGCAAGAGCCTCTAGGAAGATCCCACAGGACAATTCATGAGGGTATATTACAGCCCTGGAGCTGAGGGAAGGTTTTGAGCGGAAAAGAGGCCTGGTGGTGTGTGGGGGTTGGCAGAGGAGAGTAGACTGTTAGGGACAAACTCCCCCATCCCTACCCCGGTCAGAGTTTTGTCCTGAAGCTGCATGGCCTTGGGGACGTGGATGTCACAGGCTGTAGGGTGGCTCTTCTCCCCATTCCTATTAGGCAGGTGTAGTGGGATGCCAGGAAGGCACCATGCCACCTTGCATGGGGCTGAACTGCTACGTTTGCCCTCCTTCAGGTGGTTTGGGCCAAGACAGAGAGGATCGGCTGCGGTTCCCACTTTTGTGAGAAGCTCCAAGGTGTCGAGGAAACTAACATCCAATTACTGGTGTGCAACTATGAGCCCCCGTGAGTGCTGGGGGAGCCCTGGAGATGGAGAGCGGGGAAGGCAGGGGCAGAGCCAAGGGGAGGGCAGAGTTGGCCACAGCCTGAAGGAGCGGGAGGAGAGGGTTCAGTCTGGAGCTATACGTCCAAGGAGCTGTGAAGGCTCCGATGGGCGTCTGCTCTCATTGGCCAAAGGGCCACGAGGAGCCCAAGGTCGCCCAGAAAGTCAGTGGCTGGCAGTCGGAGACCCAAGGGCACTTCCAGACTAGGTGTGTGTATAGGAGCTGGAGAGAGGGTTGGGAGGGGATCGACCCATCCCCGCAGCATCCTCCCGACCTGTAGGGGGAACGTGAAGGGGAAACGGCCCTACCAGGAGGGAACTCCGTGCTCCCAATGCCCCTCTGGCTACCGCTGCAAGAACTCCCTCTGTGGTGAGTCCACGGGTGGATAGATAGGGGCAGGGGGTGTGGAAGGGATGCGATGCCGCCTGGATGGTCTAAGAGCCTCCCTGGACTGAGCGGTGCGTGGGCAGGGGAGGGGCTGGGCGGGATGCAAACAGCAGGGGCCTCCGGCGGCTCCCTTAGCCCTCCCGGCGCAGCCACTTCGGCGCCCTGTCGTTCCAAGTGACCGGATTCCAACCCTTCAAACGGAGGATGTTAGAAAGTCTGGCGGCTTCCGGGGGCCCGGGAGAGGTGGGAGTGGTCACACGTTAGGGTCCCGAGGAGCGGGCGGGGCCAGGGCGGTGGGCGTGGTCAGAGAGCTTCAAACGGGTGGGGCCGGCCTTGAGGTGGGAGGGGCGGGGGGGTGTCTGTGAGGGGCCAGGATCCCCTTGGAGAAGTCCCCTGAAAAAGGGCAAGTGCGAGTGCAGGGAGACTTGGACCAGGAGGTGGATGGAGGAGCAACTGTGTCAATCACCAGAAGTAACGTTTATTTTCAGTAAGGGACGTATCTGCTGGAGAGGTGTGTGTGTGGGTTCTGTGTTGTGTGTCCTGGTAGGACTTGGTCGCCTCACTTGGGTTGCGGTGGGGTGAGAGATGTGGGGTCCCGCTTGCAGCACTCACGCCAATTCTCGTCTGTCTTATCAGAACCCATCGGAAGCCCGGAAGATGATCAGGATTTGCCTTCCCTGGTAACTGAGGCCCCATCCTCACTGGCAACTGAAGCCTCAGACTCTGGGAAAATGGGTACTCCTTCTTCCCTAGCAACGGGGATTCCGGCTTTCTTGGTAACAGAGGTCTCGGGCTCCCTGGCAACCAAGGCTCTGCCTGCTGTGGAAACCCAGGCCCCAACTTCCTTAGCAACGAAAGACCCTCCCTCCATGGCAACAGGGGCTCCACTTTCTGTAACAACTGAGGTCCCTTCCATTTTGGCAGCTCACAGCCTGCCCTCTTTGGATGAGGAGCCAGTTACCTTCCCCAAATCGACCCATGTTCCTATCCCAATATCAGCAGACAAAGTGACAGACAAAACAAAAGTGCCCTCCAGAAGCCCAGAGAACTCTCTGGACCCCAAGATGTCCCTGACAGGAACAAGGGATCTCGTGCCCCATGCCCAGGAGGAGGCTGAGGCTGAGGCTGAGGCTGAGGCTGAGGCTGAAGGTGAGGCTGAGGCTGAGTTGCCTCCTTCCAGTGAGGTCTTGGCCTCAGTTTTTCCAGCTCAGGACAAGCCAGGTGAGCTGCAGGCCACACTGGACCACATGGGGCACATCTCCTCCAAGTCCCTGCCCAATTTCCCCAATACCTCTGCCACCACTAATGCCACCGGTGGGCGTACCCTGGCCCTGCAGTCATTCTTGCCAGGTAAGGCCCGTAGTATGTCCTACTTCCTCCCTGGCTCTGGAATGTCAGCATCCTGCCCCAGCTTAGGTGGTTTAAGCATGGTGGGGCATGCACCCTCTAAGTAGGAGCCTCCTCCCTGGCTGCTGCCTGCCCCCGACTTGCATGGTGGGATGGGCGGGACGTCAGGCGCAGCCATCTCCAGGCTGAGGCAAAGCCTCTCTCTTCCCGAGGTGCAGAGGGTCCTGACAAGCCTGGCGTCGTGTCAGGGCTGCACTCGCACCCTGGTCACGTGTGGGGCCCTCTCCTGGGACTACTGCTCCTCCTTCCCCTGGTGTTGGCTGGAATCTTCTGAAGGGGATACCACTGAAAGGCAAGGCCTGGTGCGGGGGTCCCTGGTCTCATGCCCACCTGGATTGTCTTTCTCCAAGTGAGAGGTCACAGCTTACTGGGCAGGTCCTGCTCTGTGGCCCAGCAGTCCCCCTTCACCCCAACTTCTGGCCAGATTCCAAGCCAGCACTCTTGTCCTACTGGGAGGCATCTACAGGGCCAGCCTCTGGCACTGCTCCAGGAGTGCCTCAGCTCTGGGTAGGCCCATCCCTCAGCCAGCTGCAGACTGTTCTGGGCGGTATTAACATGTGCTCACTCTCAGGTTGTCCTGTGGCCATCAGCTTCCCTCCCAGACAGAGAATCTTGGGCTTCCCAGGAACTCCTGGGACCATCCCAGTCCCCTGGCCTCTTCCTTGAACCATCTGAGTCCAGGACTGTTCCCCAGAAGTGCCTCTTGCCTTCCTAGGGTGAAGAGGTCAGCTGTCCTCCTGTCATCTTCCCCACCAGTCCCCAGCCCCTAAACAAGATGCATCTTGGTTAAGGTCTGCTGGAAGGGAAAGGCTACGGGGCACATGCCTCATCACACCATCCTGGAGGCCCAAGTCCTGGCTGGCTGCAAGCTCGGGGTCGCTGGATGACTGCACCCAGGCCCAGACCTCTCCTGTCCCTCCCACCTGAGTTCTGGGGGTGGGAGTATTTGGGGGAGCTCACTGCCTGCCTGGCTTAGAGCTGTCTGCCCACACAGTATGCTCTCCCTGAGTGCCTGCATAGCTGGGGATGGGGATTGCAAGGGGCAGACGAAGGACAAGTCCCACTGGAGTGGGGTTCTTTGGGGGAGGGAAGCAGGGACAAGGGAAGGAAAGCAACCCCTGCCTCCCCAATAAAAGCCTGTCCAACCTGTGACAACTGTTCCTTCTCTTTCACATACCCCGTCTCTAAAACACTCCATTTAGTGTCTCCTCTTTGAGATGCACCCTTCTTTCCCTTCCCATAACTCTCCATTCCCCCTAATCACAGGTGGCCAGCAGGAAGGGGAAGAGAAAAAGGAAGGCCAAGGGCACTGGGCTGCCTCTCCCAGCTTTAGGAGTCACCAGCCAGGCCTAGGCAAGTTTGGAGCCCAGGACCAAAGCATGGCATGCGGCCTCTTCACGGGGGCGCTGCTGCCCAGGCCTGTCGGGGGCACAAGGTCAGAAATGTATGTCAGGCAAGGCTTTGCCAGCCCCAGGTGCTTGAAAGAGTCCTAAGAAAGGGATCTGGAGTCCCAGACCCTCCCCAGGGGAGCACAGCAGGACTGTCCAGAGGTGCTGGGGACCAGAAAAGAACATGTATATTGGTGTAGCAGTGGTGGGTGACTGAGGGTGGCTTGGGTGGTAGGGAGGGGCAGAGCAACAGTCTCCAGGCCAATGCTGGAGGGCGCACAGTTAAACAGGACACCACCCAAGTCAGGCCAGGGCTGGGAGCCGACCTGTAACCAAGGAGGGCCCTCCCCTCTTTTACTCTTTTTTTGAGACCGAGTTTCACTCTTTTGCCCAGGCTAGAGTGAAGTGGTGTGATCACTGCAACCACCACCCCCAGGGTTCAAGCAATTGTCCTGCCTCAGCCTCCCGAGTAGCTGGGATTGTAGGTCCCCGTCATCATGCCCGAGTAATTTTTATATTTGTAGTAGAGACAAGGTTTCTACTAAAAAAACCTGTCCCACCCACTCCACCATGCAAGTTGGGGGCAGGCAGCTGTTGGCAAACAGCTGGCCAACAGCTGGTTTGAACTCCTGACCTCAGGTGATCCACCTGCCTCAGACTCCCAAAGTGCTAGGATCACAGGCATGTGCTACAGTGCCCGGCCTACTTTCTTTATATGTGTCTTTTTTCTTTTTCTTTTTTTTTGAGACGGAGTTTCGCTCTTGTTACCCAGGCTGGAGTGCAACAGCGCGATCTCGGCTCACCGCAACCTCCGCCTCCTGGGTTCAGGCAATTCTCCTGCCTCAGCCTGCTGAGTAGCTGGGATTACAGGCACACGCCACCATGCCCAGCTAATTTTTGTATTTTTAGTAGAGATGGGTTTTCACCATGTTGACCAGGATGGTCTCGATCTCTTGACCTTGTGATCCACCTGCCTCGGCCTCCCAAAGTGCTGGGATTACAGGCATGAGCCACTGTGTCCTTATGTGTCTTTTTTCTAGCTCTATTCATATATAACATAAAACTCACCCATTTGAAGTATGCAACTCAGTGATTTTTACTATATTCACAAGGTTGTGTAACCATCACAATTTTAGAACATTTTCATCATCCCAACAAGAAATCCCATACCCATTACCAGTCACTCCCTATTTGGCCCCAACCTCTCCAGCCCCAGTCAACCACTAATCTATTTTCTATCTATATGGATTTGTCTCTTCTAACGTCCCCCATAAGTTTTTGACATATATGTTGTGGTCTTTTGTGACTGCTTCTTCCACTTAGCATATAAATATATATAATTTGTTTTAGACAGGGTCTTGCTCTGACACCCAGCGTTATAGCTCATTGTAGCCTCCAACTCCTGGGCTCAAGCGATTCTCCCACCTCAGCCTCTTGAGCAGCTGGGACTACAGGTACATGCCACTATGTCCAGCTAATTTTTACATTTTTTGTAGAGACAGGATCTCACTATGTTGCCCAGCCTGGTCTTGAACTCCTGGCTTCAAGTAATCCTCCCAAAGGACTGAGATTATGGATGTGAGTCACTGTTCTTGGCCAACATATTTTCAAGGTTCATCCATGTCATAGCATGAATCAGAACTTCATTCATTTTTATTGCCAATATTCCATTCTATGGAATATTTGTTACATTCTATAGAACATTTCCATTTTATTTGTCATTGGACATTCAGGCTGTTTCCACTCCTGAGCTACTATGCATAATGCTACTATAAGCATTCATGTACCAGTTTTTGTGTGAACCTAAGTTTCCAATTATCTTGGGTAAATACCTAGGGGTATATATAAGGAGGTCCCCAAAGGCCTGTCAGAGGCCCTTTCAGCTTTGCCAATCAGATGGTTTCCCAGGAGGGGAGGCGATTGGCTCTCTACAGGTCACTCCTCCTGTCACCCCTCCTTTGCCCACAGCTCAGCTCTCCTGCCCAATCCCACCCAAACTCCTTTCTCAGATGAGGACCCAGCATCCTACTTTCCAGGACTAGTCAGCAGGAAACATGTCAAGTGCTAGAAGGGCAGATGGACAGGGTCTCAGCTCCCAAAGATCAAAGGGTCCAGGAAACAGCATTTCACACACACAATAGAAGAATTTGAATGAACTCAAACTTCCTGTTTTATTGCTTTACTCAACCAATAACTGGGATGCAGTACCAAAGGAGATTTTCATGCCATTTCTGGATGTGGAAGATGGCTTGGGAAATGAAGTTGAAACCCCCAAATTATTGGGGGACAGCAGCAGCCCTCCCCGAGGTGACTGGGCAAGGCCACCAAAGCCTTGCTCTGTACTCCAGGCAGGCTCTCTGAACTTCTGCAAGCAGCTCTTCAGGTCCAGCTTGGCTCAGCCTCCAGAGATACAGTGCCCCTGTCTTGGGGAGATGGGAGAGACTTAGGAACTAATCCATGCAAAAACAGGATCTGAGCGTGGGGCAACAGGAAGAAAAGATAGCCCAGAACAATGGTCAGTGCTGTGGGAAAACACATCGGGCTGGAGAAAGGCCACAGGGTAGACTCCCCTCTGAAGGGCCTGGGAACCTAAGGCCCCTATCTCTACAGGCCTGCCCTGCTCACCCCAGCATGTGTTCTTCCCACCACCCTAGCCCTCTGGGGTGTTTCCCTCGGAAAGTTAATATGGGTGACAAAGTTAGACCTTAGTGGCCTCAACCAGTGTACATTTACATAACACCCACACAGGCACACTTCTGCGTTCCTGGGAAACCAGTGAAGTGAAACTGCCTGAGTCCACTGTTACTAGGCCACTGGGAACACCCAGTTGTGCATGAACAGCCTAGGGGCCTTCCCTTTGGCGGTGGGGACTCAGCCCCTACCTGAGGGAAATATGACCAAAGCCACCAGACCTCAACTCTCATAAGCCAGGTCACCTCAAGCAAGGGCAGGGGAACCCAGCTGGGCCTCAAAACATTTTTAAGCTTTGTCTGCTTATAGGCCCCAGTGCTGGGCAAAAACAATTCATTGGAAGGGAGGTCTGCCCGTTCTGATATAACCATGGCCACCAGACCAAGCAACTCTTTGTGAAACTTGAAGATATGTCATCCTGACATGTGACAGTCAGGAGTGTGCGTGGAACACTTTCTGGAAGGCCTGTCTCTGGCAACAGACCTGAGCACTATTTGCTGCTGTGGAAACTGGCACCCCAGCCTCATCACCCAGTGTCTCCCCAGGGACTGAGCTACAACAAGCTCTAGCACTTACATCTCTAACCTGGCAGCCCCCTGCCCTGCCTCTTTACAGCCCCTTCTCCCACCTTCTCCCACCAACCGGAAGGACTCAAGACAGACTCTACAGGCAGATTTTTAAGCTTACAAAAATAAGAGACTACCCACAAAACTCCAAATCACCACCAATACATTTATTTGTGGGAGATGGGTCAGATCTTACTATGAACTTTAAAACTGGATAAGACTAGAGACACTGATCTGCCCAACCTCTGGGAATTCACAACTGCACAGGTAACCAGATCCTGTGCGCGAGGCATCACCATTCAATAGATGAGCATTAGATGAGGACACATTGAGTAGTCACATGATTTCCCATTCAGAGGCAGGTGCTGCCCTCATATCATTAGTGTTGAGAAAAACGCAGGCAGAGCCTTAGCATAGGCCTAGACATGATGGTGGCCATGTGCCAGGAGATCCGCCCTATTTACAAAGCAGCAGAATGATGCTCCCAGCTGAGCTGCAGGATGGGTGCTGGGCTGACTGGAGGGGTAGACGGGGTGGGGTCTGACCCCATTAGCCTTTCCCCATCCAACCTGGGTCCCCACAAGCCATTCTCCGGCCCTCTACATAAGACAGACTCAGCAAATCTGGGAGGTATGGGGAGTCTGC